TGATGGTGATCGGTGCTTGTTGTTCATGCTGTTGCTCGTTGGGTATCTTCATCACCTCCATCTTCTGTACACTCACTTGAAGTCCCGTCTTCGCTGCCTCGCCTCTTCTGTCAACTTGTTGGTTTTCGTCTGTAGGTCTTCCAGTTTGTGTGACATTGGACACAAGTCATTGGCAACATCCAAATCTTCTTCTGGGGTCTTTTCATCGGTCCAACCAGAGTATGCGCATCTTCTCACTTCTCACAGTTTGCTGCATGATCCAGCCTGGTCGACCACAATCAGGAAGATCATCGGTGATAGTTGGTGTCAGCCTTGTCTTACTCCTGTCTCCTGTCTTCACTTCAAAGTCGTCACTCAGCTTTCCATTGTGAATCACTCGGCATGTAGCATCATATAGCATATAGATGTAGAATGAGGTTGATAACGATTTGTGGCACTCCGAAGTGTTGAAGCAACTGCCTAATTACTTGTTGGTCGACGCTGTCCAAGGCCTTCTCAAAGTTGATGAAGTTGAGGTAGAGAGTTGACTGTCATTCTATACTCTGTTTTATGAAGATGCGAAGCGTAGTGTTGAGTTGCAATTTGATCCTCAGATGATTTGTTCTTCCTGAACACAGCCAGCCTGTTCCGGTCTCATTTATAGGAAGTGAATATCTGTTAGTCCACTTTTATCAGTCACATATGCCTATGTATATCGGATTCGACTTACATAATCCTGCATTCCTGGGTTGAAAATTTATTTAAACAAACAAATCACGTGTTCACAAAAAAAGAAACAACTGTGAGGTTTTTAAATCGGCGACCGGCTTAAACCTTTGGATGCCACCAATTTTTTCTCCATCGAATATATTTCATCATATTTTCTCCTTCACATTTCCTTTAATACCTTCAATATGAAATAAAATCAGTGAAAAACTGTGGATCAATGAACCCCAACTGAGTAGCTGAACGGTTAGTCCATGCACATTACAATCTGAACGCTTTGGGTTCGACTTCTGGCGGGGTCGGAGATGCGTCCCACAGAGGAGGCTCATACTAGGACAAAATAGCTCAGAGGTTATCAATAGTTCCCCAACTGATGTCAGCCAGTGATGAATAACAACCTGAAATCTATAAGCAAGTAATTGACGTAATTCATCAATGCACGAGATAAGTGTTCAACCAAAATTTTGACATTCTCAAGCATGATGTAAGCCCAATGCTCTCATAGCTTCACATCGTTCCAAAACATGAATGTAAATGAACAGCTACACATTTTCTGATTTCGTATTGAAAACATAATATTTAAAAAGCAATCTACACCCTGCAGAATAACATGCAAATCAAGAAGGTCGTCAGAATTTCAGTTTGATAATAAAAATGGGCTCAATGGGATAAAAACATTATATTCTTCACAAATGTATTTCATCATATTCTCCCCTCTCCGTTTTCTCAGATACTTTGAATATATCTTCTAAGTGCATCATGCAATCTAGCACTGTTTTAAAACATTTCCAAACCATCGCTTCTCAAGCTAAGAACGAAACACAAAAAGTGTTACTCTCGATGGAGATGCACATTTAAATACTCAAAAATACAACACACGACTACTCCGACGATACCCATATCGAGTTGAAGATATTTGCACTGGCTGACTCAATGACCACCACCAGAATTACACTTGACTACGCATTCATCTTCAAGTCCAAATCAGATACCAATGCAACATCAGAAACCCGTTTCACATTCGTGTCTTTAATGACGTTATTATTCAGATGTAACAATTATTTCTTTCAAAAATATTGTACACTGTGGCTTTTTGTTGAAGCATCGTCTGCTGAGAATGTTATAATGTATCACACATGTTGTTTGGAATAAAGTGATTATTATTGGCGAATATATATGCATATGTTTATACACGGTTAGATAGAGAGATAAGGTCAAGGAAATTCCAAGGGTTTGATGAATTGGGTGAACCTATGCATTTTATACGTCAGAATTAGGCTTTGCATTCCATAATAACAATTGAAGCAGTGCTATAATGTTGGCTACTTTTCAGCATTCCAGTTGATCCGAAAGATAAATGAAACAAACGTTAATTTATGCCTAATAACGATGCCGAAGAATGAACAGTGTGTTAATCCATGATACAGAGGTGAGAAGATTTGCGAATTCAACAGTTTAGGACTGTATCATCAGAGTAGGATATAGATTTTTTAAAAGTTATACTGCTGCAACATTTTTTGAGCTGCTGATAATTCTTCTTTCATCGGAAAAAATCCATCGACTATGAAATAAATGTATTATTTGTTACCTACTTTTAGCGATAACACAAGCACAGATTGAAGGTGACTCATTTGTGTATCACTTGTAAACAAACCTCTTTTTATTCTAATAATAGAAATATTTATCAAGAATTAAATAGTTTGTGCTTAAGAAGTTGTTGTTATCATTTCCCAAGTGTACAAACAAACATGACATGTTATACCTTACCTCATCTGTCCGTGTAGTGTTCAAAGTTTGGAATAAACAACATTTGCCATGCTGAAAATTCTTATAAATAAGAAAATGCTAAGGAATGGTAAAAACGTCACCATCCCGACGATCAGATTATTTCAGTGTACAAATTTCTATTACTACCCTAAATACTGAATATGCAGCACTACATAAAAATAATGATACAAGGAAAATTTAATCCAAACTGACTGTATGAAGCCGGAACATCGCGTTCGAATAACACTAAACACAATGACCACAAGCTCGTACACTTTAGTAGGCGTTAAGGGAACATTTGACTACAGCAGTCTGTCCATTCGATGTCACTATTACTCGAGCTACTATATCATCCAACAGTACTCAACGGTAACGTGCTGGCAGGGGAACCTGAAAGACCTGGGTTCGATCCCTGTTTGGGTCATGGGTGCATACTGCTTAGGAATCCTCATACTAGGACGAAATAGCTGTCTTGAATATTGTGCTCCCAGGTTTCCGATGTTTCTTCAAATTATGTCAGTCCATGATGAATACCAACCTGAAATCAATAAATCCCCACAAAGCTTAAAATTGAAGTTTTAATTTGTCAGCGTTTTCCAAAGTGTCTCAAGTGACAACACACGTAACCGGTTCTAATCCACCTTCAATTGTAGACTGCTCGCTTGCTTTACCGAAATGTTTCCACATTCATAAAATAGTAACCTGATCGTTGAATGCTATTGCTGTTGATACAACATCTGCTTGTTATAGACTTTGTCCTTCGAGTTATCATTCGTATTCACTGCTGAGTATTTGGTAACGATTAATCCCTGTTGCACGATTTTGGCTATTGACCAGAGTCACATGATTTCATACGGCTTAGCATGAAGAATTTTTAAATTTTCTCGATTACAAATCAAATCTTTAAGAAAGAATCACGTGGCTATGATTTTTAAAATAACATTCATAAGCAAATTTATTCTTCATAAATAAGTAGTACTTAAATTCCACTTCTCAGAGATGCTCAGAAAAAGTTTCTACCAATATGTAGGATGTACAGATTCAGCGCTGTGTTTGATATCTGCATAAGTGCAACCCAATAGTATGTATTGTCTAGTGTAATCTTCCAGTCTGCTAGAAGTGTAGATAAGATTTAGTGAACAGGTTTTATCATATACATTATGCAGGAAACTACTGGTTAATAATCACCTTGATTGTTGTGTGGGAAAGGTTACTTATTTGATGAGCAAATGATGCACGTCAGTTATCAGTTCTCAAGCAGTGTCGGTGATGAGCTCAACAAGTTCATTTAAAAAGTCAAAAGAGTTGTTGGAGAAGCGTGTTTGTTTTCTTTCAGCTATAATGTTCAAGTGTGAACATTTCATAACCAGACTTGGTGGTATCATCATAAGTTGTTTCATGGAGAGGCACAGAATGATCACTTTCTATATGAATGTTTGTGTACGTATCTAAAACTAGATCTCAGTTAGTTTTATGTTCAAAGACAGACGTTGCCAAATATTAACTTAAACCTTTAATCTTTCTAGTATATACTGAAAAAATATTTGTAATTGTTAGACTGTTCTTTGTTATCATTGCCACTATGATGAATTATCAGTTTTCAGTTGGCTGAAGTGTGGTAACGCCTTCTCGTCAAAGAAATAATATAACGTCTTTGCACATGTTTTTTAACTGATATTTTTTGAAAATTTTAAGCGTCTAAGCATTTTTCTGAATCCTATGTGTTCGTAGTCTGTGAACTAATCACAGTTTTAAATCTAAATCTGATGGTGTAGATGTCTTCCATTTCCCTATGAGTATAATAGTGATGACGCGATAGAGTTCAGAAAAGAAACCTCTGCAAATGAATGATAAATACTGGAGAAAACTAGGTGATTTTCATCTTCGTTTAGAGGTACAAATATTCAGTATTTTATTTAAAACTTCCTAACTTTAAAATTCACTAATTTCCGCATGGATATATTATGAAATTCGGAAAAACACTCAAACTGTGATTCACTGTAAAAAGTACAGTTTAATTAGTTAGTTTGTTCTGTCCAATAAATAATCTAAAGAAGAAATCGTGAGTGGTAGAGAATAGATCATCGTAAAAGAGTATGGTTACCTGTCTGTTGTTTTGTCTATGACAATAAAAACCTGAATGTTTTAAGTTTACCAATACTAATTCACTGGCTAAGTCAATGCACCCAATACAATATTTTATAAAATGGTTCATTTTCCAACCAGACAAATTATCTTATTCGTTAAATTTTCAAACCTGCACCAAACTACTGAAAATGACATTGTATATCTCAAAAACACTTTATGCTAACATCCTTACTATTGGGAACAAAATGCTAAAAAATTGGTATTTTTGCCTACTTCTGATATAAGTTAATTACCAGTACATCGCAAGCAGCACTGTATTCCTTAGTTGTTACCTTCAAAACCAACTGTAAGGAAAGTACATTTTTTTATTGAGGAGGAAATCGATTTTTCTGGTAAGCAGAAAGAATCCTCAAAATTGAATAAACATTGCTTTCACTTACTTGATTATGCAGAGATCTGCTTAAAAGTAGTAGAATATTTTCCATTTTTACATCGTCTAAACACCGAATATATGAATTGAAGACTGCAATTCGTAGTTCATTTGATTGAGACGCATTTGAAATGATGGTCCAAAGCAAGATCTTTTTATATTACAGTGAAATACAACAAAATCGAGGAATAAAAATAGTTCAATAATTTCCAAGATCAATTTTTTGAAAAAAAAATAGTCTAAAGCGTTTTGATTGAAGACAGTATATTTTAAAAACGAATACCAAAGTCGAGATTATCAGATTAATTTGATACATAAACTCTTGTATTATACAAAGTTACTCACCGGTGAATCAAGTTGCATAGAAATATTTCGAGTGATTTCAAGACTTTGCAGAATATCACTGTTTCGTCTTTTGACATTTTTGTTTGCTCTTTACCTCTGCTTTACCAAAAGTCACAAACTAGTAAAGTTTCATTTTTCATGAGCTTTATTTTGTAACTGAAAAATGTCATATTCTTATTACTGATATAAATCTTTCTGTGTAGTTTTTGCCTGCCTACTCACTTAGGAATCACTAAACCTCTAGATAAAGAAATCACCGTGTCTCAGTCTTCAAGCTCCACTTGCAGGACCAGTACGAGCTGCTTATCAGTGTGTTTATGGATGTCATGAATTTCAAATTCACAGTTCTGTTTTACCAGTAACTTTCATGATCAAATTTTATATTGCTTTCATCCAGGTAGTTTTCCAGCTTTCCAACTCTGTTATTGACAATCTTTAGGTAGAAATCAGTTAGCTAGACGAGATCGTTATTCTCACTTTTTTAGTCAGACCCTAAATGATCAAAATTATCGATTAGGGTTTAGGTTACTCAGATCTTACTAGATAAGTCTTTGGATTACTGCTGATTAATTCCAACTCTTTTCAGTAATATACTGAAGTTCGATCTGTTATGATGACCAACTGGGGTTGAGAATATACCAGTTGAATTGTGAAAGTCATTTCAGATCTTGTTTATAACCTCAACTAACATAATCTTTGCTTAAGATTTATGCTTTTCCTCTGATATACATCTACATCCATAGGTTCCTTTCTCGTCTGTTTATCTATTTATTCTTTTCATAATGTTCTGAATCTCGAACAGTAATGTGATTCCTTTACAGCTCGCAGAAATAACTGTATGACTGGTATAAAGAGGCGCTGACAATCCCATGAGGATTTATTTGATACCACTTGTAGTGTTTTCAATAAGATATCGAAAAGTGATTATAAAGTAACAATTGCATGCTGCTAGACATAATGGTTATATAATGAATTTGTCCAACTGACTTGTTCTCCGGAAAATATCCGATGCTAAAAAGTCAATGTCATCAAGAAACATAATTTCCAAAACTCTGCAAGTATTTTCTTGTTATTGTCGCTTGCAGGTACTAAAGCTTAAGGTTACTGAACAAACTACCAACTATATCACAGGTGAGTAATGAGGTTCAGAGATAAGCATTTCCTTACGATTAAGGAAATATTTTTCAGTCAGTATATATTTATCGTAAACCAGGTCGAAAACAAGATTGAATCACACATGAACTTGCATAAACTCATCAGTTTTAGTCTTTTAATCCAAAAATGATCTCTTTCGAACTTTCATAAGGGTAGAAAAACAGTGCGACTGAAGAAAAACCGATCCCTTTCGCTGACCAGTTAGTTGACTAAGATCCCTAAAGTTTATACTGATTTTCAGCCAAGATTATTTTACCAGATAAATTTGCAATTGGTTCTCCTCATGGACAGACAGTAATTGAAGAATCATTTAAAACCTATGATCACTAGACAGTTTTCTTGTCTTAGTTTGTGTCTCCTCAGCAGTGCATATCCATAAATCTGTAGAGGATCGAGTTCAAAACCGTCACAATTTGTAGGAGTTGCATCATTATTCAGTTACTGAGCCGTAGTTCAACTATCTGATAATTTCTATTTCCGCCAGTATGTGAAGTGGCACGACCACTATCCAGTATCATCGGTGGGCATCAGCTTCACTTCCAAAAGTATCTACCCCACGGATCATGCCTTTTGACATAAATTTCAAGAGATCCACTTGTAGACAAGTTATTTATGAACATTTTATGGTAATTCAGTTGTTAGCATGCAAAAACCAACTAATTTGACAGCAGTTTTCTTCTTCGACTGATGTTGACTGACGAAACACTGGATAGTGTTAAACAAAAAAAGAATCAATTTTCCACTGGTACAAGGCTTCCAAATGATCAACTGGTGTAATTCCTTGATGGAAACTACATTGAAATGGTAAAGAATATTTGTAACTCAGGTGAATGGTCTTGGTTATATTGTGTTCTCTCAGTTGTCTTGTTTAGTCGTGGAGCTTTCATCATCTAGAAAGAAGTTACAGTAATTTTATTTTCGTCCCAACTGTACAACTATGAATTATCTTCCTCAATAAAAATCTATTGTTTTAGTCACAGTCGTGATTTTGCTTAAAGGCATTTATAACACTTAGACCTGAAGTACTCAGCAAACAACAAATGTTTCGGAACACTTCATTTTTCCACTGAATCACATACATATCTGCCTTATACACTTAGAAGATGGATTTTAAATAGGCTGCATAATCCCGTTACTTCATGGAAATTCATAACAGGCATCTGGTATGCCTAAAACAGTCTTAATGCACGAGCCAATTTAAAACAAATAGCTCATCTCTGCAATTTCGTTTGTCTTCAATAGCTATTGAGTTTTCCGGCGCATTTATATTCTTTAACACTTCATATTGCTAGTACCAACATTCAGAGCATAAACTAAGCAACGGTGTATTGAAGCTTCATTCACAGTAACAATTCTATCGTATGCTAAAAATGTTGAAGTAATGACAGCGGTTCAGTTAATAAAAAACACCATACAATTATAGAATCCTTATCAAACTTACATCGATATTCTCATCACACTTAAAGTGATAAACAATTTGTGCAGTGAGTATTCGAAAATTATAATCAAGTCTGTTTTCATGATCGGATAGTTTTTTCCGTATAATTGAAATGACCTTTGCAGTCGGCAAAAATGGACCAATATTTGAAAGCGCTTCTAGTGATCTAAGGGACTAAGGAAATAAAGTTAAATAATACACAGTATGAAAAAAGGCACATGAGCGTAAGATGCAACTGGGTTAAATTTACTACTGGAAGTCGTGACCGAGATTGCTGTGATTCAGTTAAATGGACGAGTATATTGAGCTCAGTAACATCATCAGCTAATCAACAAAATATTAAGATATTGAAGATAGTTGACTTTTAGGTATTATAACAGCTAGGGAATCAGCAAAAACCTAGGACTGTTGAATATATATTTCTGTGTAACCATGCATATGCAAAACTCTAAGGGTATATAGATACCAACAACACAGACTGAACTATATATAACTAGGCAAGCTCATATGGTAGCGGTCACAGAAAGTAGAACAAAAAGATATCTTTGATCGAGATTAAATTATTCAAAGACTGGGATGACCTTCTATTCAGCTGCATCCCAACGAACCACTTATTCGGTCCTATGTGACTGCGTAGTGTGAGAAAACATCACATATTTTCATTTATACATAGTCAAGATTCATAAATTAGCAATTAGACAGTATTTGCATGAAAAACTACATTTTATGCATTTACTTTTATTTGGTGTGCCATTATTTACCAGATAGTACTTTTCCTTACTATTAAAGAAATATTCATTTCCTGTGAAAAATTTGTTCATTGTCAAAATGTTTGATAATTGTCTTTTTCATAATTATTCTACCCAAATCTAACATAATTTGTTTTCTGTAGGTCATCTGTGACGGGTAGATACAATCATAACTCAAAATCGTTCTTGTATTTAGGCATGTTTCAATCAAGGGATTTGCTAAATATTAGTGTTACACGTTTATTTTAGAGGGATACCTGATTAAGAGCACACAAGGCATACACTCTAATTACCATCACTTTTCCATATACACCATGGATGAAAAAACTCTAACATTCACAAATAATAAGTGGGTTGATAATCTAATCTAAACCTGAACATTAGCTGAGTTTTCAGTTACTACTTACTACTCATAAAAAACTCATGGTATCACACACTTTTTAAGCCAACTTTCAAAGCAATACTACAGAAAAACTGATTCGAAAACCGACCAACTGGTTATTTAGCCTAATTAGGTTTATAAGTTACCGATGAAATATAGTCTTTGAAATAACTGAGAATAGTTTCATCGTTTAACTGTATAAAGCAAATTTATTATTATTATTTTTCTCTTGGGTTCCTAGTGGAACATAGGGCTTCAATAGCACGTCACCATTTCACTCTCTTCTCTGCAGTTTCTCAACCTGCTTCAAAGACTGCCTACAACCTTTCATTTCTTCCTCACATGGTCTCTTCCATCTCACCATCAACTGGGACGCCCAACTCGTCGTTTCCCATCTGAGTTCCACTCAAGGGCCTCGCCTGGTCTAGCGCGTGATGTCTACAAATGGTCTCCTCAGTGCATGCTCAATCCATCTACACCTTCTTTTACATACTTCTTGGACGATGGGTTCTTGGTTAATTTCGTAGCCAGTAAGCCAGAGTGCCTTGTTGCTTATTCTTTTCATTCTGGCCATCTGATCTTCAGTGTCAGTATCGAGTGAGCGTAGGCAGTTGTTGACGAATGTCTGTAGTTTGTTGGAAATCCCTTTCGTAACGCGACAAGTTTCTGAACCATCACACAGAAACACTGACTGACTTGACTGAATTAGTGTTGAAAATCCGGATCTTCTTCACGCTTTATGCTAAGTTGATTGGAGCAGATCTCCACACTGATTATTTCAGGTTAATGAAGGCCTGTTCTGCTGTCTTTCCGATACTGGCTTTGACATCCCTATCTACGCCATCACCGCCGCTTGTAGTGAAACGATAGTGACCAGATGGGTAGGTAGGTAGATAGCTAGGTAGGTAGGTAGGTGAAAGAGACCACTTCCTTTGGATTATTTCTCCCTTTGATGGTGATTGGTGCTTCTTGTTCATGCTGTTGCTCGTTGGGTATCTTCATCACCTCCGTCTTCTGTACACTCACTTGAAGTCCTGTCTTCGCTGCCTCGCCTCTTCTGTCAACTTGTTGGTTTTCGCCTGTAGGTCTTCCAGTTTGTGCGACATTGGACACAAGTCATTGGCAACATCCAAATCTTCTTCTGGGGTCTTTTCATCGGTCCAACCAGAGTATGCGCATCTTCTCACTTCTCACAGTTTGCTGCATGATCCAGCCTGGTCGACCACAATCAGGAAGATCATCGGTGATAGTTGGTGTCAGCCTTGTCTTACTCCTGTCTCCTGTCTTCACTTCAAAGTCGTCACTCAGCTTTCCATTGTGAATCACTCGGCATGTAGCATCATATAGCATATAGATGTAGAATGAGGTTGATAACGATTTGTGGCACTCCGAAGTGTTGAAGCAACTGCCTAATTACTTGTTGGTCGACGCTGTCCAAGGCCTTCTCAAAGTTGATGAAGTTGAGGTAGAGAGTTGACTGTCATTCTATACTCTGTTTTATGAAGATGCGAAGCGTAGTGTTGAGTTGCAATTTGATCCTCAGATGATTTGTTCTTCCTGAACACAGCCAGCCTGTTCCGGTCTCATTTATAGGAAGTGAATATCTGTTAGTCCACTTTTATCAGTCACATATGCCTATGTATATCGGATTCGACTTACATAATCCTGCATTCCTGGGTTGAAAATTTATTTAAACAAACAAATCACGTGTTCACAAAAAAAGAAACAACTGTGAGGTTTTTAAATCGGCGACCGGCTTAAACCTTTGGATGCCACCAATTTTTTCTCCATCGAATATATTTCATCATATTTTCTCCTTCACATTTCCTTTAATACCTTCAATATGAAATAAAATCAGTGAAAAACTGTGGATCAATGAACCCCAACTGAGTAGCTGAACGGTTAGTCCATGCACATTACAATCTGAACGCTTTGGGTTCGACTTCTGGCGGGGTCGGAGATGCGTCCCACAGAGGAGGCTCATACTAGGACAAAATAGCTCAGAGGTTATCAATAGTTCCCCAACTGATGTCAGCCAGTGATGAATAACAACCTGAAATCTATAAGCAAGTAATTGACGTAATTCATCAATGCACGAGATAAGTGTTCAACCAAAATTTTGACATTCTCAAGCATGATGTAAGCCCAATGCTCTCATAGCTTCACATCGTTCCAAAACATGAATGTAAATGAACAGCTACACATTTTCTGATTTCGTATTGAAAACATAATATTTAAAAAGCAATCTACACCCTGCAGAATAACATGCAAATCAAGAAGGTCGTCAGAATTTCAGTTTGATAATAAAAATGGGCTCAATGGGATAAAAACATTATATTCTTCACAAATGTATTTCATCATATTCTCCCCTCTCCGTTTTCTCAGATACTTTGAATATATCTTCTAAGTGCATCATGCAATCTAGCACTGTTTTAAAACATTTCCAAACCATCGCTTCTCAAGCTAAGAACGAAACACAAAAAGTGTTACTCTCGATGGAGATGCACATTTAAATACTCAAAAATACAACACACGACTACTCCGACGATACCCATATCGAGTTGAAGATATTTGCACTGGCTGACTCAATGACCACCACCAGAATTACACTTGACTACGCATTCATCTTCAAGTCCAAATCAGATACCAATGCAACATCAGAAACCCGTTTCACATTCGTGTCTTTAATGACGTTATTATTCAGATGTAACAATTATTTCTTTCAAAAATATTGTACACTGTGGCTTTTTGTTGAAGCATCGTCTGCTGAGAATGTTATAATGTATCACACATGTTGTTTGGAATAAAGTGATTATTATTGGCGAATATATATGCATATGTTTATACACGGTTAGATAGAGAGATAAGGTCAAGGAAATTCCAAGGGTTTGATGAATTGGGTGAACCTATGCATTTTATACGTCAGAATTAGGCTTTGCATTCCATAATAACAATTGAAGCAGTGCTATAATGTTGGCTACTTTTCAGCATTCCAGTTGATCCGAAAGATAAATGAAACAAACGTTAATTTATGCCTAATAACGATGCCGAAGAATGAACAGTGTGTTAATCCATGATACAGAGGTGAGAAGATTTGCGAATTCAACAGTTTAGGACTGTATCATCAGAGTAGGATATAGATTTTTTAAAAGTTATACTGCTGCAACATTTTTTGAGCTGCTGATAATTCTTCTTTCATCGGAAAAAATCCATCGACTATGAAATAAATGTATTATTTGTTACCTACTTTTAGCGATAACACAAGCACAGATTGAAGGTGACTCATTTGTGTATCACTTGTAAACAAACCTCTTTTTATTCTAATAATAGAAATATTTATCAAGAATTAAATAGTTTGTGCTTAAGAAGTTGTTGTTATCATTTCCCAAGTGTACAAACAAACATGACATGTTATACCTTACCTCATCTGTCCGTGTAGTGTTCAAAGTTTGGAATAAACAACATTTGCCATGCTGAAAATTCTTATAAATAAGAAAATGCTAAGGAATGGTAAAAACGTCACCATCCCGACGATCAGATTATTTCAGTGTACAAATTTCTATTACTACCCTAAATACTGAATATGCAGCACTACATAAAAATAATGATACAAGGAAAATTTAATCCAAACTGACTGTATGAAGCCGGAACATCGCGTTCGAATAACACTAAACACAATGACCACAAGCTCGTACACTTTAGTAGGCGTTAAGGGAACATTTGACTACAGCAGTCTGTCCATTCGATGTCACTATTACTCGAGCTACTATATCATCCAACAGTACTCAACGGTAACGTGTTGGCAGGGGAACCTGAAAGACCTGGGTTCGATCCCTGTTTGGGTCATGGGTGCATACTGCTTAGGAATCCTCATACTAGGACGAAATAGCTGTCTTGAATATTGTGCTCCCAGGTTTCCGATGTTTCTTCAAATTATGTCAGTCCATGATGAATACCAACCTGAAATCAATAAATCCCCACAAAGCTTAAAATTGAAGTTTTAATTTGTCAGCGTTTTCCAAAGTGTCTCAAGTGACAACACACGTAACCGGTTCTAATCCACCTTCAATTGTAGACTGCTCGCTTGCTTTACCGAAATGTTTCCACATTCATAAAATAGTAACCTGATCGTTGAATGCTATTGCTGTTGATACAACATCTGCTTGTTATAGACTTTGTCCTTCGAGTTATCATTCTTATTCACCGCTAATCTTTTCTGCTATTTTCTATCAATCCTTTTTATTCAGACATGATTCTCCCACTTACCAGTATATTTGAATCTTTTGGTTTACATAGAACTCATTTTAACTTTTATATGCAACACGGTCTTCAGCATACGTCTTATATAATTTGATTTCTTTCGGTTACTTGGTGGTTTCGAAATGTCAGTGACTAGGTTCTGCGTATCATCTGTATCGGTTGTTCTGATGATGATTCTTTCATTCCAAACCAGCCGATAATTTTCCGTTGCTTATTATGAATAGTGTTGAAAGATAGTAAGACGTCAAAGTTTTCAAGCTATTGCAAAACTATTTTGTCACTTCTTAAACGAACGAGCTTGGCATCTTGACAGTTTGTTAATCTTTACACTTCTGAAGTCACTATTTATATCAGTTTTACGGAATCCATATGACAGTACTTAAACTTATTTTAGTCATCGAAATGGCAAGTCAACTTAATCATGTTTCCATATACTGAAACGGTAACAATATTTTTTTAGAAAGTTAACGCATATATCAAGAAACTCTACTGATATTAAATCAAAATTATAACTCATAACTAATGAGAAATGCATACTTTTGTGAGATCCGACGAGTTCAGCGAATTTTCAATCACATCTATCATATTTTTGATTACGCCATACTTTATACATGATGGATTTCTTTCACAAAACCTTCGCATATGTAAGCTGACGAAGTAAACTGTATCATTGTACAATGAATTGGTCAACAAGTCCTAAAAATTACATATAAAAATTGTGCATGAACTTCTGAGTCTAATAAGTCGTTAGAAAGACGCAGATCAGCTTTATGCCTTTCAAAAGATTCAACATGAAAAGTATTGTGTAACCGATCTCTTCTTCCCTCAGACAAGCAAATTTTCTGCCATCATTTCACTGTATGTCATGTTAGACAAGAAACGGGCTACGAACACTGCATTTTGTTTCTGGTTTCGTTTATTTTTCACTGTATGTGCTTAACAGTATGATTAGAGTTTCCCCTTTGTTTGGCACAAAAAGTGCATACATATTGGATCAGGCAACATGAATTTAGATACCTCCCAGTAGTCATTCTATGTATCTAGTCCAAACCTGCATGGGATCAGTCACGCCAGTAAAACTCATTGGTAACTTATTCGACTGCAGTACTGAATTACGCGAGTTCGAACCCCACAAAGGATATCACATCCGTTAAGGCCGTAGATATGCTTTGCCTGGTGAGTGTCAGCCAAGTTTCAGGGCTTCTTTCTAATAGCTTGAACCATCTAACGTAAATATAGTAAATACCTCATGAGTTAGTGAAAGCTGAAACTGAACCTTTTTTGGGTAATGTACTTCAGAATATCTAGATTGTAGACTTCAGTTACTGTTGTTTTAACCTCAGTGTAATTCACTTGGTTGGATATGAAAATTACTAAAAAATTTACAGCAAAACTTTGCTGTTCACAACATGCTCACATCACGCCTTTACAGATTTAAACTAAAGTAATGATGGATACTGACCATCAGTGGAATCCAAACCGCGCCTTTTGTCTTCTTTTGGATCAGATACTTAGATGTACCTGTACGTCAGTGAGCGATGTAGTTTGCTATGAAATTCAAGCAGGAAGCCTACGCCTCAAACAAAAAAGCTTTATCTTCTAGTTTGCTGAGTCATGGCAACCACCCAATGTGCGAATCTCAGTGGGAACACAGTCGCTCATCCAGAAGTTCGCATGTTCAAATGACAAGGCCCAAATTTGGAGACATGTGAATGCTAGATTTCCCTGCTAACCACTATCCACGATTATTATCAAATTAAAACTAACGTGAATATTGAAACGTTTGTGCAGGAGCCCATGTGCGAATAGTTCCCGATTGATTCCGTTTAAGCAAAGACGGTAAATTTTAACCGATAATATGAAATTCAATTTATTTTTTCTTCATATATTCGAAAAATGACTACAGCAAAAAATTTAGTCCAAAATTCAGTCTTTCAGTTTCATGTGAGTGATTTGTTTTTCTAAACATTTAGTGAAGTGGTTTCTGAGTAAACTTCGCAAGAAAATGTCATTTCCTTTCTTAAAGCACTGAGTGATCAGAATATCCGTAAACATGACAATTGTTTGACATTCAAGACTTTATCCTACTTCAATAGTATTTCCCTTGTCTAATCACAATCAAGATAATGACAAATCTATTGAAGTTAATGCTTGTGATTTTGTCTAGAAAGACAATGAAAGCTCAGGGAAATCATCGCAACAAAAATCACTCACCTGAGCTACAACTGGTCTCCCCGATTTCATAATTTCCTAGTCTTTAGGACGTAATTATACAATGATTAAGTCAGACTTAGTCCTAAACTCCTTCCAGGACATTCGCAACAAATATGGACTGGGTGTTTATAACCTGGTTTCATTAAATGCCTAAATTTATATCTGGGTCATACATTCCTACCTCCACTATTTATTATATTCCATGTAAAAACTCGTAGATGCATTTCAAAGCATCTTGGACTGATACACACAGTAGTCTATCTCTTATGTACACTAGTTCTGTTGCTAATGATTAGCCGACTGCATAGTGAATAATTATCATGACAGAAATGTTGAATCAATCTTATCAAATAGTTTTTGGGAAACGAACAACAACTGTCTGTTCAAAGTTCCGCCGTTATGGAAACACTTTCTTCCCCGAAAAGTACTTTGCTTGCATTGCAAATGTGTTGTCCACAACATTCTGTTATTTTAAAAACTACTGAGTTCTTAAATTTTTAACTGAAGAACTGACACACATATTGTCAGTCCTGTATTTTGTTTTTTATTTTTTCTTCATATCTTGACATGATCACTTCTATAACAGTCTTGTAGATGACAAACTACCTACCAATTATTGAAGAGACTATCTTAGGCAGCCACAGTTTAACGGACTATTGTCATTACTACTAAATGATGATTGTAGATAAAGTGACAATCTAGGTTACAGCAGGATCTGTACAACCTCTGGGATTGACAAGAAGCTAGGACTTGGATAACAGCTGCGTCTTATCATTCATTAGTACAAAAGGTAGATAATCCTGAGGCTAATGGTTTGAGTCCTGCAGCGAACCAGCTTTTCATTTCACCTACAATCACCAGCCAGAATCGCAAACATCAATCTACCAAACCACGGCTGTTTCACAATCAACATAATATCCTAGGTTTCTGACTCAATTTGATTTGGACCGAGACAAGATGATCTGGCCGGGCAACTAGTGTGATTAAGATGAACGGACAGGAACTTTTCACAGTTTCATATGGCAGTCAGGTAAAAACCTGTGGTGAGTGGTAGCTGGTAGGTGGGTCGTGAAGAACAGCTGGTAAATCCTCTGGTAGTTAACCTGTATCCTGCTGGTTCATATCCTGTCTGGGAGACAGTTATCACCCCAGTATTTTATGAATGTCAGTTTCATAAGTCATATTGCAATGTAATTATTTCGTAAAAATATGAATAACTTATACCTTCATCTCATTTATTAACTGGTAGGTAGGATTTTGGACCACCCCAAGTGAAGAAATCCATTTCAGTTGTTCAGATAAGCTTTTGCTTTTTATAAGATACTTTATGACAAACCTTATCGAAGACTCCGTTTGTATTTCTGCAATGATGCTTTGTAGAAATTCTCTGCAAAGGAATAAATCATCAGAAGAAAACAGATAACTTATAACTTTCTATGTAGACAAAATTTCTGTGAAATGTACCATTGCTGATAACTGATCAAAAACATTATGAAGCAATTTGGTTATCTAATGCTACCCACAGAACTTGTATCAGTTTGTCCACCTGACTGTAAGTTGTATCTTACACGCAAAGACTGATAAAATAGACTGTTTGTTGATCCAAGATGCTGGTGATAGTTCAGTCCTTGCAACCAAGCTGACAATTCCAAATTGCATCAAAATTGTTTGGAATCAAGTGATTATTATCGTCCTTAGTTGACGGGGGATCCCTTAGTTACTGTTCTACACATTGTAGTACAAAATCTTTTTGAACTCTTCTCCAGATAAAATTGGTATATCATTAAAATAGTGAGTTTTCAGTGATGTCTTCCAATGAATAACAGCGAAAGTAACAGAATTGTCCCATCCTCGACTAGATACATCCCAGTGGTCTTTACACGTTTACCCAGTGGGAGTTTTTCATAGCAATAAAATAAAAGCAACGAAAACGAAAGTTGAAGGAGTTTTTTAGGAAGTTTTTTAAGTCTAGGGATTCATTTAAGAGAGATGTGAAATTGCAGTCTGCATCTCTTTCCTAAATTTATATTGCTGAAAGGTTTTAATGAACGATTTTTATCGATTACTAAATTCGACTCTTCAATCCTACTGCATATATAATGAAAGAACCCTTCGAGTCTATCGTAAATTAAGATCAAATAAATGTTCCTAATAACTTCATTTCATTTGATTCAACAAACTAGTTTTAACAGATATCCTACCACGAAACCACCGACGTCATGTATCAGTTAGCTGGTCTGCTTTCTGTAACAATAAGTGAATAGCAAACTTTTATCCTAATATTTCCTAGTTATACAATTCACGTTTGCATGAAGCTATATTGTTATGTTTTCGTAGTAGTAACGGCTGGAACACTAGATCCTGGAGTGTTAATTCCATTTTTATTGATTTATTAGATTTATCACATAGTGTAACAAAATTGTTTATTAGATTACGTTTCGGACATAATTTATTGCCCATAGTTATTTCAAGATGGCTATGACTATAGACAATAAACGTAATCCAGTAAACAATACTGTTACATTTTGTGATAAATCTAATAAATCAATAAAAAGAAATTACATTTTACCACAGTGCACAAGTTCCACCCTGCAGTATCAACTTCGCCTATGTATAGTTTTACGCAGAAATAACACAAATGCCCAACTGATGAAAACAAAATTCTCATAAAATTACCAGTTTAAAGCACCACATACCATATCTACTCGGACTCCTGAATAATATGTATATGCAAAAAACTAATTTAATAAAGTACGAGGACAATGGTCACCAGTTTTTAGGTTAAAATTTATGCTACATTTCAAAGATGTACTCATTACAAAAGAAAATGATTTGTATTCTGCCTCAACCTCAACAGTTTCTTTACAGCTGATTTCAGACGAGCATTGCCTAAGATACTGTTCTTTAGATTACTAATAGTTTCTAATGAATAAAATGATTAAGAAGTTATAGCAAGCCAATAAACGCTATACAGATTACACAACCCACAAAAGTTCATCAAGAAATACAACATAAGATAGCATACTGAAAGTTTTGACAATTATGATCATTAAGCATTGCATTTGCACTTGCCTTAGCTCGAAAGCTTATGACTTTGTAAGGATTATGAACAAAAATACTCAGCCTTTCAGTGGTGTTAATTTTAGTGTACCAGAGCTAGTCCAATTATTTTGAAATTTCGATCAAGAGCACAACCAAATACCAACAGCTCTCCGCTATACATTACCTTTAAAGGTGAGCACTATCTTCTGAGACACAATAATTGAAGACTGTGTAAACAAAGAATATTATTTTCAGTGATTTTCATTCGGTTTCTAGATTCATGAAATGGAATTGTTTGGTGGAATCCAGACCAAGTTTGCGGAAAAAACATTTTCAAAATGGAATGAGAACTAGGAGTTGTCAGCTGAACAATTTTAAACTTGCCGATTTTAAGACTATGTGTATACGTATAAAAAATGTGCTGATGAATTCAGTGTAATAACAGATGATGTCAAATGAACGATGAGTGATTGTAACAACGTAAGCGAAAGAAAAAATACTAAACTACAGAGTTATGCCATACTTCATCCATAGACTTGAAAAGTGCAAGTACATCGATTAGTCACCGTAGGGTAATCAACTTCATATTATCTAATCCTAAGTGCTGACCGAAGTCTGTCTACCAGGCAATTCCGTCACCGTTGTAGTAACGCCTTGCTGAGGTGTGCTTACTGGCACAAAACCTGAATCCAGAGCTTCCTGTGAACTGCAAGCAAATCAGCAGGAGTGGGATGAAACGAAGACAAATGTCAAAGATCCTCTGAGCAGCCTTGTGCACACTATCGTAGTAGGCAATGAGATACGCCGATCGTATGAGGGCTAATGACAATGACTGGCTACCCAAACCTCGCTGGGTGGGGCACTGTTTGAACCCAAGACCCACTGACTGAGCGACAACTCCACAAAGCTTAATTTAAACAGCCGTATATGTAAACAGATGGACTGAATAGTCCTATAAAAATCCAGCATATGGCAACTTTTCCCACTTCATGCGCAGATGTAGCTCAATCTGCAGAAAGCATTTGCCGCAAGATAACAAATGGTATTTATTATGCTGAATGAAATCTTAAAACAAACAGTGAAATTGACGTTCCAACATCAAAAATGGTTGAACGTCCTCTTTTTCAATATCAAAACGTTTTGCATACTTAAAGTAGACCTTTTTATGCCAAAATGAATCCAATCAATAGCTGAAATCTTCGTTATCATATTCAACGACATCATCAGTCATCGTGACATCCTGCGATAAGTACTTATCGCTAACGATTAGCTTTCACTTAGGCTTTCCAATCATATTCACCGAATATCATGTCTCCATGAATTAAAATTCATGTAAATCTATTCTATAACTTAGCCTGGTTAACTAATTCACGAGTTACTAGCCGGTCCTAAGCCCGGGTAAAGAGGGAAGGTTGAGCATAAAGCTACCAAACCTACCCTGGAAAACCAATCCCACCGCTAATGAAACTTCAAAACACAGACAAAATATAAAACATAAAATCAAACCTATTCCTTTCTGGAGTCGGAGAGACGAAATGACGCCAGTTAGTGAAAGCCTTCGGTAGGCCTATTAGCTGGCATGTCTTCTCTCCTCTCTCTCTCTCTCTCTCTCCCTCTCGATGAAAGCAAAAGTGAACGTGCGGACATGGAATGTCCGCACCATGTTTGAAACTGGCTGGCAAAGCTGCTTAGATTTCCAAAGAGATGAGAAGTTATCGCATTGAAGTATTATGAACTTGTGAAAGCAGGTGGAATGAAAGTGGACTCTCGAAACTGTCAACTGCAGAGTCAATAATCTGTTCCGATACTGTCGCCCAGACGACAACCACAAGCACACTGAATAATCGAGTGGCTATCAGGATGTCCTCCTGAAAAGCATCGAAGTCTCGATCTCAGGCAGTGGGAACCAATCTCCTCCATGATCAGGATCATGACAACAAGATTCAACTCAAAAGGAAGGAAGGAAGGTCACAATCACTCAATGCTATGCACCAACAAATAATGCAGATGAAGAGAAGAAGGAGGAATTCTACAGATAACTGCAATCAGAACTGACAAGACCTCACATCAGTTGGCGACATCAAAATTCTGATGGGTGGAGCGATGTGAATGCGGAACCGGGAGTGGATAACACAGGAAGAGAACTAACCATGGGTCGAGAAGCACTCGGCGAAATGATGAATGAGAATGGAGAATTGTTTGCAGAATTTTGTGCATTCAACGATTTGGTGAATGCAGTCAGACAGTGTGTATAATCACAAGGATATTCACAAGGCAGAGATATGGATTTCACTAGACACCAGGATACACTAAACATCAGATCGACTTCATGTCAATGTGAAGAAAGTGGAGACGCAGCCAGCCCAATCGACACAAGATCAGATCAAGAAGAGAGAGGAGCAGATATAGGTTCACACCACTCAATATGTTGTGCAAGGAACCTGTCTTCAAAATCAAGTTGGAAGCCTTCAAGGAAGTTGGTGATAGACGACCGCAGTTCAAGTTGAACACCAAGAACACAAACTGAACTGAAAGAAGAAACTACAAAAGAAATTTAAACGTCAGTCAGTCATCACGAAAAAGTAGATATCGAGGAACATCCTTGAAGAAACCTGTGTGGATGAATACTGGAACTCTTCGAAAGCTGTGTGTAAAAAAACCTGTATAACCGTATTAGGAAGGAAGAGGGAACAAGACAAGGAATGGATCTCGATGGACACATGGAAGCTGATAGAGCAGGGAGAGGAAGATGGGATGGTGATGGTGAAGCAGAAGATGAACCAGTGCAAGGATGCACAATGAGAAGAGGAACTGAGAACGATGTGTAAAACACTGGAGAGTTAAATGAAGAAGAGTGCGCGCAACGACAAAAGACACGTCTACGAAACACTGGCAAGTGAAGCAGAACAGGCTGCTGGCTGGTAGGAGAGACCTGACAACATTTCATCAGATAACCAGGTCACTTTCTGTCTGGAAGAGATCAACACAGATGAAACCAATAACAGATGATAACGGAAATTTAATTACGAAAGAAGAGAAACAAAGCAAACGATCGGTTGTCCGCTTCATAAAACTCTTGGATCGACCACCACCTTCACTTCGTCCAGAAATACCACCTGCAGACCAGCATCAGAACTACAAGTGAACACAGATCCTCCAACAAAAGTGAAAGTCCTGAACGACATAAGCTACTGAAATGCGGCAAAGCAGCAGGACCAGATGGAATCCCGTCAGAAGCACTGAGAGCGGTCGCAGGGACAACAGCAGACATGCTCACATTACTATTGCAGAGGGTGTGGATGGAAGCAAGGAAAGGTACCTGACGACTGGAAAGAAGGCTACCTTGTCAAACTCCCAAAGAGGAGCGACACAAGACTTGTCAAGAACTGTCGAGGAATCATTCTCGTGTCCACCAAAAGCAAAATATTTTGCCGCATCATCCTGAAGAGACTAAAGGATGCGATGGATTCAAAACTACCACCCGAACAGATTGGCTGTGTTCAGGAAGAACAAATCATCTGAGGATCAAATTGCAACTCAACACTACGCTACACATCATCATAGAACAGAGTATAGAATGACAGTCAACTCTATACCTCAACTTCATCGACTTTAAGAAGGCCTTGGAGAGCGTCAACCGACAAGTATTTAGGCAGTTGCTTCAACATTTCGGAGTGCCACAAATCGTTATCAACCTCATTCTACATCTATATGCTATATGATGCTACATGCCGAGTGATTCACAATGGAAAGCTGAGTGACGACTTTGAAGTGAAGACAGGAGACAGGAGTAAGACAAGGCTGACACCAACTATCACCGATGATCTTCCTGATTGTGGTCGACCAGGCTGGATCATGCAGCAAACTGTGAGAAGTGAGAAGATGCGTATACTCTGGTTGGACCGATGAAAAGACCCAGAAGAAGATTTGGATGTCGCCAATGACTTGTGTCCAATGTCGCACAAACTGGAAGACCTACAGGCGAAAACCAACAAGTTGACAGAAGAGGCGAGGCAGCGAAAACGGGACTTCAAGTGAGTGTACAGAAGACGGAGGTGATGAAGATACCCAACGAGCAACAGCATGAACAAGAAGCACCAATCACCATCAAAGGGAGAAATAATCCAAAGGAAGTGGTCTCTTTCACCTACCTACCTACCTAGCTATCTACCTACCTACCCACCTGGTCACTATCGTTTCGACTAGAGGTGGCGGCACAGAAGAGGATGACAAAACCGGGAATGGAAAGACAGCAGAACAGGCCTTCATTAACCTGAAATAATCAGTGTGGAGATCTGCTCCAATCAACTTAGCATAAAGCGTGAAGAAGATCCGGATTTTCAACACTAATTCAGTCAAGTCAGTCAGTGTTTCTGTGTGATGGTTCAGAAACTTGTCGCGTTACGAAAGGGATTTCCAACAAACTACAGACATTCATCAACAACTGCCTACGCTCACTCGATACTGACACTGAAGATCAGATGGCCAGAATGAAAAGAATAAGCAACAAGGAACTCTGGCTGGTAACCAACCAACGAAGTACCTATCGTCCGAAAAATATGCAGAAGGAAGTGGAGATGGAATATGCATCCACTGAGAAGACCTCCTGGTGACACGACGCTCTGGGCTCTGGTGTGGAACCCAGATGGGACAGGACGGGTTGGGAGTCCGAGGGTGACATGGAGGAGATTGTGTGAGGAGGAAATGAGAGCTTGTGGGCTGTGTGGAGCCAGGTTCAAAAGATCGCGGAGAACAGAGTGGAATGTCGACTTACTGCTGAAAATCTGTTTCACTAGGAACCCAAGGGACAAATAGTAAAATGATATTTATTTTATCGATTCGTGACATTGCAGTCAGAGGTAAAAACAGTTAATTATTTCATGTTAATAACTATGCATATGCCTAGATAGCTCACAACGTATCTTCTGTTAAGTTTCCTTATTTTGCCAAGCGTTCGAACCAATATTTGTATGGTATTGAGCATTCATTAATCTCCAGATAGCTATTTTTCTTTAGGCATATTCAGACTGAAAGATACTATGTTAATCGGATTGGTTTCTGCAGGACTATTTTGAATACAAAATATACCATCGGAAACATCTTATCGGTTGATTATGCACATTGACTTGTACGGAATATGCTAGGGAGTTTTTACGTTCAGTAGAAACTAAACTTTATTTACTACCAGGTAGGTGAATAAAGACTAGAAACCACTTATAAGTGATGAGACAGACAAAATTATCCAATACACTTAACTTCTCCATTACAAGTAATGGAAATATCTCTAATGCATTCATCATTCAGTAATAAGTTTCTGGTATGTTGAAAACATAATACGATATACTATATGTGTCATAAGCAACAAAATATTAACTAGTCATTTATGAGACAAAAATGTTGGTTAGCATTGCCATCTACAAGTATGTGAAATAGGATTGGTGGTCTGTAGAAACATTTCACCCTTCAATTAAATAGATTTATTTCAAGTACTGTGAAACATTGGAGCTTCCGCAAAGAGAACCGTATATTACCCTTTTGGTAAAATAACTTTTAAACAGAACCTCTTAAACAGTTAAAGTATGTATTAAGGTTAAAGCTTATCTGATAAAATTACACCAGGTTATTTTAATTTTATGAAGCTTTTAACTGAAAACCTATCTCATCGGATATCTTTCATTTTTAACCGCATATTTGTTTCATTCAGTTATTGATGCATTGTTTTTACTGATAAGCTAAACACAATTTAAATGATATCACCAAACCTAAGCATCACTACTATCTTTATTCAACTCACTCTAGTTCTCAAGACCAACATTTTTCGCACTATTTACAATATTATCATGACCTTATTTCTGGATTATTAGCCAAACATCAGTTGAACTCATTTGTAAAGCATGCAAATAGTTATGCTTATGAAAAAAATTAGATGTCATAATGTTACTTGTCATATATCTCATTGTTATATAAATGGTCTCGTATAATCAGGGCATGGCTTAGTCTGTAGTAAATCGGAAAGAAAGGAAGAAAAATTTTACCTAAACAAGTAAAAAGAAAGTCTGGCCAAAGGAACCTAAATATACAAACAGTAACTTTTTTGACGGTGAAGACACTCCACTGATTGGTCGGAGTCAAAAATGAATCAGCCATTTAGAAATGATCAATTTATCGAATTCCGTCGGATCCAGTCGAAGTTAATCCTAGAAGAAGCGTGTGTTTTACTAAATATGTTTAACTTTTGTACTAACGTAGCAATATGTAACTGAGACCTTGAATACGCTTTTAGTAGATCAGTTTATAATAAATGAAAATACAAATTTATGAAAGATTCTCCTATCATCTTGTGGGTAAAAAAGCAGTCTTTACTGCACAAGAAAATAAAGATTAAATTAGCAGTAACCTTCAGTGACTTTTATGAATAAAATCGGCTGGTTAATAATTAAAAGCCACCAGTGGTCCTTCATTAGTGCGAAACGAAGACAATGTGAAGGATCAGCTCAAGGACTGTCAGGATTCGTATATATGAACTTATTTTTTCATTTATCAATAAATAGTGTGAAAGATATTTTTCTGCTGGAAAACCTATTCAAGTTACAAATGAAAATTACTTTGCGTATTGTACAATACACACTCTGTTGATTCCTCTGAATATCTTTTCTTCATTAAAAATGGAATTCAGAGGTTTACCACTTTTATGTAGATATTACTAATGATGTCATAGTGTTACGAATTATACCTGTGTACCATCGCTGCGTGAATACTTTTTCATCCATACATTCTGACTGCTCACTTTAAATAACAATGCAACTTTTCTACGCTGTCGACGTATTTTCACATCTAACTCCTGTAGTAAATATTCGTTTTCACACACGACAATGATACTGTCTTAAAATCTAACACAGCTAACAAGAACAAAAGGCAAGATGTGACTACGGCTGAAACATCTGATGTAAAACTGTGCTGTAGTTCATGGAATTCTAAGATATCAGTTAATCCTTAAATATTTTATCGCAAAAGTAAAGCAGGTAATTTCAATCATTTAATTTTGGAAAACATGTGTACTTCCGCAAATTTCTTCCTGGTAAATATTGCTGAAAATGTTATAAATCATTGCTTCTGTTCATAATAATTACTACATTTTTCATCCTAGTGATTTACTAAGTTTGAACTATTTTTCTCATAATGTGTTCACATATATTTTGTTAACAGATCTACTTACATAATGTCAGTCGATTGATCGAGTTGCTCCCATGCACTGTACGTTTCCACTAGTTCCTCATAAGTGAGACGTTGAAGTTGTTTGATGAAATTATTTAATCTATCCGGTGAATTCACTACCATCATAAGAAAGCTTTGATTTTTGATTGTTTCTTCCATACTGAAATGATTAGGTTCCTGAACTTGGTTTCCTTCATTGTCTTCAAGAATTTCGAAGTCTTTTTTCGATATACTTTCAACTGAAAATATGATGAGTAAAAAATACAAGATAGGTCCCTTCAAAACGATCTACTAATTAAAAATATATCTGAAAGTACTTGAATTTTTCAGAACATCGAAACATCAAACCTATCGTCCTTACCAATCGTGTCAGCTTTAGCAATACTATTAAAATACCCCAGTCGACTTCCAATGTTTTCCTCCTAACACTTGTTTGCTTTTAGTATTATCACTGAAATAGTATATTTAGCCTTCTGAAATCATGATGGTTTGTTTTCGGGGACATATTACTTTGTACACATCCCATGTTTACATGTATATGAAAAACGCTTTCAGTGTGTATTACCCACTAGCTTGTTAGTTACACATATATCAGCCGAACAGTAGTTCCTGAAGCATATCTAACCTCATGAGAACTGTGTGCGAGATGATATCATCTAAAACGTTCATTCTTAAATAAATAGGTAGTAAATACACCAATCAAAATTCAGGTCTGTTCAATATCGAATTGGCCACATTTTGAAGAGTGAATCATGAAACCACCAGTTTTTAACCTGTATGTGTATTGCATATCAGTGCTTTACAAGTATCAAACAACACACAGTCAATAAATAGAAACAATATTTTCAGAAAACTGATTCATAAATTTTTAAAATCATTTTTGGTTTATGCATGTAAAAATATAGGACAATTAAAACTACTGAACAGAAAGTTGAGGTATTACTGAAATTCATTTTGATTGTATGAACTTTAAAATATCTGAATACCAGCTGGTCATTAGTTATCAACTAGTAACTGAGTAAAAAAGTAAATAATTACCCCTTGTTGATTCCAGAATTACCTGGCTACTTACTCAAAAACATCTGTTACTTACAATCATCCACATGAAGTTTACGAACTTATGTGACATTAAATAAATAAAACTAAAAGCGTAAAATCAAATAATAATCTGAAGGAATATCAAAAATCTCTGTTTGAGATAAATAATGACGACTATATAAGAATGAATGGAAAAAACATAATTCGAACATACGTTTTTCAGTCTATTTTCATTGACCCATAAGAAGAGTCCCCATGAATTTTATTATTTATGAATACTGCACAAACCAATTGCTCAATTTATATACAGGAATTAGTTCAGTTATTTAGCTTTTAAATTCACTTGATTTGAAGTTTCAAACGTTGACAGGTTGCTGGGTAATAATCAAGTCCATACTGGCCATGTCGAAATATGGCCCTATGGTCTCGTAAAGTAACATCCGTTCAATTATGGTTTATGCGCCACTTAGTCATTAGATGACTACAGCCTATTACAGTTTTAAAGTATTATTTGAAAATCGGAGTCATTCAAATCTGAAATGCAGTATGACCTTTCATGAAGTCATAGGGAGATTCGGTACACTTTATCTGCCATAAAGTCCACGAAGGTGATTAGCTGAATCCCTAAAATGGCTTTACTTCCTAAAACTAGTCCATAAAATTTTCAAATAACTATCTATTCATAATTGTAATCATGAACGTATCGAAGTGAATTATACCAGAAAAAGTTCTCAGTTTTCAGCTTTTTATTCAAACTCGTGAAATTTATTTATTCACCTAAACCTATCAGTTATTCGGTTGTTTTTAAATGATTAACTAAGCCTATCAAACATTTAAATGTCATCCCGTCTGCCTAGGATACAAATGTAATTTCAAGTCACATGGTATTTTATTAAATACAGTAAATTTCCAAAACCGATGTTGACTAATTAGAAGGTAAGATTGACTCCACTTGTAGTCACAGATTAATTCATCAGCTTCTCCACGTATTCGTACAATTCTTTGTAGAACAATGAACTGTAACATACTGTCTACTTAATAACTACCACCTGAAAATTTAGTAGTAGAAATTTAGTTGACAGCTGCTGATTCTTTTTGTTTAACATAAATTTAAGAAACGACTGTTCAATCTTGAATTTCACACACAACTGAAATTGCAACTTACAGCCACTTCTACTTCATAAATTTGTAGATCCTATTCATGCAACAAAAAGATACATGTTAGTTATTATCACCAAAAAGATTCCTGTTTGTTTTCTGCTTCCTGTTCGTAGCTAATGGAAATTAAGGATGACAAAAGTACACTAATTGGTTACTACATGTCAACTTTGTAGCCATCAACTCCTACCTTCTGGTCAGTGCCTACACTTACTAGTTTACGCTACACAAAATTGCAATGTACTGCCTTTGTGTTGACTATTAGAAATTAGCTAGTGAGAAACTGATTGTTAGATATTTCGGTGACCTGTGAATGAAGAAACTTTCAGCGACATCGATTCTCTGTCATATGAGTAGAGAACTATACCTTCTTTAACTAAGTTTTAGTTTAACTCACAATCCGAAGCGCTCGGTTTCACAGATAACTAAAAACTTTATTATTTCCCAAAAGGTCAAGATTTTATAAAGGGTGGAAATAAATAATCCTAAGCATGAATTAGAAGCACTGTCTAAGCAAATGATCATCAAGTTATCTTTAAAAAGTGATGCAATTGAAGAAGTTATGTCAGTATGAAATTTTCATGTTATTGTCAGAAGCATTTTTCTAACAGTTGATTTTGCCGGAGAAAATCAGAAATTCTGCCTGGTTTTATCAATCTCATCCGCGAAATTTGGAAATGTGAAGAGTTTAAACTGGGTTGAAAGTCTATTAGTCTACTTTTCCTTCATCAGACACATTAGGCTTTGTCACACTCAACATGTTTGTGTTATGCAAGTAGCTAAATTGTCTTTAGCAAAGTACCAAGAGGTTGAATGCCTTATCTTTTAAATATACTGCCTGAATCACATTCATCGAGCAGTTATGTTTTTAGTGAAATGAACCGTACTTGAGGCTTACAGTTTGCTAGAAAATGTGGAGGCTTTCAATTTCGCGTTGTACGTACATCACATGGTGTGTTACGATACTTTTTAGGGGAAAACTACAGTTGAGAATAAAATTACATGATATGTCATCAGTAATTCTGATGGATTACCATTTTTCTGTTTTTCTCATATATATGCTTCAGAATTAACCTGTAATCTGATAAACACAATTTGAGGTAAAGAAAGCCGATGTATTTTCACTTTTGACTAAGTCGTTTGGACACTTTTACATGAACAGCCGAACGAGTTCTTAACATGGCACTGCCAAGCGGTCTGTTCTTCTCGGACTTGATATACTTTTCGTAACTCACTCTAAAGAAGTCAGTAACTTTTCCACGTTCCTGCACCAACATCCTCTTCATTTCTGGATGAAATTCGGGGCTCACCTGCTGTGAAGGAGGTATTGCTACATTAGTTTCATTTCAGCAAGACGCTTCTCTTTAAGTACATCCTCTCTACTTTTTGGTATAACGTTTTCTGAAAAAATTCTATGAGGTGTGCAGTCAAAAGCTAATAAAATACGGAAACTGATTAGTAAAAAAGGCACTAAGATGAATAATTTCCTTCATTACACTATCCTTTTCAAGCCATCAGCCTCTACACTTCTGGCTGCAGACCTGATCTCAACTTCATTTCAGTCACCGGGGGTTTTCCAAGTATCATATGGCTGCTTTAAGCATTACATCAGTTTATTGTAATCACGTTATCTCCTCAACCAAGAATTATGATCCAAGTTTAAATCGACCTCAAACCTTTGCGGGTGGAGCGCCGGAATGATATTTCCAAGGCTGCTGAATTACGTTATGCCACAGTCCAGGTTTTTATTCTGTCTTCAATCACTACATTATATTAGTAATATCTCAGATACTCATGGTGACATCCTTATCACTTTTCTTAACACATTTTGTTAGTCCACTTTGTTTAGCTTGACCTTTTATTTTAAGGTACCTGTGCTCATTGAACCCATCTGCCCGTTGCATTCTTAGTAACAAACTGAAATATTTTAAGCAGTATCTTTAATTTGGTATTGAACAGTATAAATTTATAAGCAGCTGATGAGAACTTAAAGAAATGAAGTTAATCTATGTTGTTCTGAAGCAGAAATATGTTGCGTAACTTCAGAAAGATGGTTGGTCAGATGAAGCTATGGTATAGATTTATTTTATTCTGTCAATTGAACCAACATACCATGCACGCAACGAGATTGGTAGATTACATGCTTCAGAATATGGTAATTCTACTAGCACTGCAATCAAAGAATTAAAACTAATGACATGTAGATTTGGATGATTATATGACTACCTTGGTATGAATAAAAATAGAGTAAATTTTATCCCGTTCTAAGTATATATTACACTACATCGAGTACACAAATCTAGTTACAAAATTTCATATATCACTTCGTATGACTGAGTTCCGCTCAAAATCCCATTTGTAGATAATACTGTTTCACTGAGTGGTACACGTAAAAAATAAGTGGAGTCACAAAACTTTCTAATAAATAATCTCATATCTGTTATATCTTAATTTCTTTTCATGAAACCATTTTATTAAGCTAAAGCATCTATTTTGGGAATGAACTCAGCAGTTCATATGCAGACTAGAGCACCTTTTTTTATAATATAATGTGGATAAAATTTAATTGAATTACTTATACTTGGAATCTTTTTCAAACATTTCATTAGTACAAACACTTACATAAAGGAAGAACGTCTCTATTCTCGGACATTTCAATAAGAGTTAGTTGAGTGTGTACACTGAAGGTTATTGGTTTGATCGAAAACGCTTCAAGCCATGTTTGCGTGGCGGATATTTCTCGACAATGAACACTGTCTAAAGATTTTTGTGGTTGGTATGTTAATTCACAAGTTAGCTCGGTATTTAAGTATACAGATCGACCACCAACCTAGGAAATAACGAATAACTGCGTTAGGATTTTAAAACATGTTACAGAAACTGTTTAATACACCTCCCGGCACTTTATTGCTGGTACGAAGCAAATGCACCAGTGTTTAAGTAATTCGCTTTTAAATACTTGAAACCCCAAGAAACTTAACGGAAATATCTTGAAAATAGGAATTTCCAATGGTGAATAAACTTACTTATGTAAAACATCAGACCGAATTCAGTCCTGAGACTAATGCTTTTCGCCAGTCACTTTTGGAATGCAGTAATTACCAAGCGGCCTGGCTGCAAGGGATCGTCTTCTTAACATAGGTTATCACTTGAGAAGCCTTTTGTATACATTAGTGCGTCATCACCATTATGTCTGACAGACACTAACTCAGCGATTAAATGTTGGTTTTTCTTTGAGTGTTAGTGAGAGTATCGCTGCTAACAGACCTAATTTCCTGATCAGTCAGTTAAAACTGGTGTTGGCAACGAATAATGTCCAATAATTCATAGAGAAAAGAAAAAGCAATTTAGCCAAGAAAACTCATTTTTCCACTTGATCATTTTCTGAGGTTAAACAGTTATATTCAAATATATCTCAAACATAGATTGTCAGTCGCTGAAAAATAGGGGTACACGTGCTTGTTCACCTAGTAAGTAATAATTAAGTGGGAAAGAAACAAGAGTTATCTTAAAGATGACAATGGCAAACTGAATCACTGTTACAGTGAGTTTTTCAAAAAACAGATTAAGGATATAGGAATGTTGAGTTCAAAAGGATACAGGAGCAGAGATCATATGGGATAGACTGTGAAAACTACTAAGTGAGGCATTTTTTGTTAGTAAGTTATAAATAACTATCTCTAGTGTTCAGTTAATTTTTAAGGGGTTTTAATGATATCACTGTCATTTTAAAATCTAATTTGGTCCTATGGGGCTAGCAGACGCATAAAGTGTGAGCTTCGATCATTTGGGTGCATTATATTCAATGGTTGCACGAAAAGAGTGTAAAGTGATCATCAGTAAGATTCCTGAACATTCCGTCAACTCGGCTAAGCTAATCCATCAAAGTTCTTTCTCGGAATCTTGTGCAAGGTGTAGGTGAATTTTGAAAGGTTCCTCCGAAACTTGGATGCTGTAGAAGCATGAATACTTCACATATCATGATTCATTTCAGTATGCAGAAGAAGTATGTTCCTTTTTCATCTTCTTACAGTCTTGATTCCGCCTTTGTTAACTTGATTAGAAGTGATCGATTCGCTGTTACCATCTTTCTCAAAACCGTTTGTTCTTTCTTCCCTTTCTACATATGGAGCAGGTAGACACCCAATTACCTTGTTTCGTATGTACCGAAAATTTCTTTCTCGTCAAACACCTTGATAACACTGTTACTTGTATCATTTTATAGATTGGTAAATAACTTCGGAAACATTCTTCGGCTAAACTGTGCCTTCTTTTGATTCCTAGGGATTGAGAATTATAACTTTGATGGAAAGTCACTAGATGTTCATGCAGCGTCAAGCAGTTTATTATTTTTTCCAGTTGTGTAACAAACATTGAACTAGGTGATTTGCGTTATCTTAGTAGTCAAGTGGATTTTGTGGAATTATAGAATTTTACCCTCCCTTAATGAATACTAAAGGACCTTGAATTGATCAATCAAGTCAAAGTATCTGTGCGGTCGTTATACTAAGCTTTGAGTTACTCAAAGGATGTCATTGATTATAGACGGACTTATGCATAATTCTGATGATGACAACTTTAACTGGATCGAAGAGAATTACCTATCGTTTTGCATCATCTACTAATTCTAAAGGCTATTTTATTTATCTGCATTCCCTACTAGAAGCAAAATTATAAACATGAAAAGAAGACCCACCTTTTTGTTCATAGCTTTATGACTTAATTTTCAAGTTTTGCATTTTGAAATCTATAGGTCTTTGCCTAACATCAAATGTCATGACCTAACGTCTATTTTGAGTTCTGGAGTCTTAATTCTGAAGTCATTTGGTCGGGGTCCACACCAGCAGTTTAAAGGCGATTGGTCTTATTTACTTCCATATCATAGTTCAGGTGGTTTAGTTTTATGTAGTCATATTTAAGAATATCCTTATTACACATAGTCCTCATTCAAGTTGGAAAATCAGTCGAAGCCGTAAGTGAGTTCCAAAATATCGTTTAAAGACCGTTTCTGTAGTAATTTCTTGTCATTTCTGTATTACGGAAGTAATAAACAACTGTCTCCGTATTGGTGTGTTCAAGGCCATTTAACATTCGCTAATGAATAGCAAACTTATTTAGTTCTGTCCTGAGTTTTGATACATAAGTTATTAAAGCTAGAATCAGTGTCTATAACTCTTATACTTTTCCACAGCACCATGACTTCAGTCACTATCTTTAAAAACACTCACGAGCGCATAGTTCTTACAGTCTTCAGAAATGGAGTTATATTTGAGGTTGAAACGGCGCTGGCTGCAGATAGAAAATAATGGGTTATATAGGAACAACTAAACATCATTACGAAAACTGTCAACAGTGTAGGTGTATCTCTCCCTCGTAGCTATCTGTTTGAAAGATTCCTCCGACTTTAATGCTACAGAAATCCAAAGGGAACTAAAATCACAAGTGAATGAATACGTTGCTTATTCAGCATACTATCGCAGGTTATGCTGTGGAGCCCCAACACTGTGATACTCTGATTTTCTAAATGAAGTGTTAACTTGAATCTACTCAAAAATGCCAGTCTAACTAGCTGGCTAAATAAATCAAGCTACCTATTGCTTCAGTCAATATAGGAGATATTATAAGTATGTGTGACCATTTAATAGGACTGGAACTTTTTTAAGTTGTAAGAAGAAGTATCTATAACAGTAACATTACTCATTCATTTATTTTCTATAAGGTATTTTGATGATGATTGATATTCAAGAGTATCTGTAGTATTGCATCACAAACTCCCATATTGTATTGTCTAGTAAACATATATCAAAGCTGAAGAGTGAGTTAGTCACAAATGATAGCTTAATCGTTGATCTTCATATTATTTGCTGACTTAAATTTGCTAACTTTATCCGCGAACTTCAAACAAAAACTTCGGAAGATTATCAAATTAAACTTGTGAAAATATTAGTAAAAGCCAAGTCCCATGAAGATTTCCCTGAAAACCCTGAGAAATATATATGGAATTTATCAAAAATTACTGGAAGTAAAGTTTAGATTGAACCTCCATCTTTTAAAATTACGTTTCATATTACAGTGGAGCGCGTCAGTCAAATAGACGCAGATACCCAGTTTGAAACATATGCCATCAGCTCTCAGACTTGAAACCTGTTGATAAGACTTTAAAGGTTATGTGAAGTCAAAGTTGGTTGACATAGCTAAATTGTACTTTGCATCACCACTTGAAAAGTTGGAGATTACCAGAAAGCAAAACTGGTATCACCAATCTACAAGTAAGGTCAGATATTGTTATGTTCAGACCTGATAAAGGATCTGGTGTTGTCATTGTGAACAGAAACAGCTACGTGAATAAAGTGCTAAAAATTGTCAATGATTCGGTAAGATTCCAGTTGAATGATGCCAAAATAGGTGTTGTACTAACATTTGAAAACAAAGTAAATAGACATCTTAGAGATCTAAAGAAGTTGGTTGACAATGCAACATATAATTAATTCAAAAGGTTGACATCTTCCCTCCATGTATGGCTTACTCAAAAATCATAAATCTGATATACATTTGAAATAAATAACGTCATTGATGAGTTCACCATGTCACAAGCTGGCAGAATAATCTTTGGAGCCCATCCGGAGTAAGTTGGAGTTCCACGGTCCACAAGATATGAATTCTTTCACAAAACAGTTCATGTCGATGCTTCAGAAAAGCTGATGGTGTCATACGATGAGACTTCCTTATTTGCAAATATAACAATGAGTGAAACAATTAACCGACAAGCTGATCTGCAGCTGTTACTCGAAACCAAAATGAAACAGTTGTTACTCCTTTACAAGAAACATGTCCACTTTCAATTCAATAACCATTTTTCTGGACAGAGGGATGGAGTGGCCATGGGTTCACCTCTAGAGCCTATCATAGCAAATATCTTCATACGTTTTCCTGAACAAACGCTCCTGAGTTCAGTCATTAGAGGAACAACGTACTACCCCAAGTACTTTGGCAATACCTTTGTTGTTTGTAATGATGTGAAACATGCAAGTGAGTTGTTTGACAAACTCTACAAGACTTGTTCTAACATTAAATTTACAATAGACTATGAGCATGAAAAGAGTTCCGTTATTAGAACCTCAGCGTGAAAAGAAGGATTGATAGAAAGATTAAAAAGACCGTCAAAATAAAAGACATATGGACCGGACAATACCTTAACTATAACAGTTTTTGTGCCACCATCTATAAGCGTGGGCTACTTAAATCACCTTACAACGGAGCTAGGGAATTATGTTCTGTAGACAAGTTACAGGAAGAACTAAACATTATTAAAAAGTGTCTCCGAGAAAATTGAAATCCTCAGAAACTTGTTATGAAGTAAGGAAAAAAACATATCGAGACAAATGAACATCCAACTGTGAAAAAAGGTTTTTTACACATATATGTTCAAGGGAGATGCAGTATCCAAGTGAATAAACGTAAGAATCAAATGAGTACTGATAAATGGCTTTGCTGCAGCTAAATTCGCATCAGTGTACAATACCATATGCTCACTGAACCAATCGAAATTAGATAATTACCATGGCCATGTCACCTCCAACTATCTTTATAAATTCACGTGCATTTGCGGCAGCAAGTACATTGAAATGACTAAGAGGATGACGTCCATTCAGTTCACTGAGCATATCACCAAAAATCTTTCCTTAAAAGGTAGTAAAATTCCAGCTAGTCCAATCGTTAGGCACATCATAGACAATGGACATCAGATGGAAACTTCAAGTGCTTTTCAAATAATTAACAAACAGAAAATGCCTGAATTACTGCACTTTGTGGAAGCGAACTCAATGAAACGCTTTCAGCCTGACATTTGCATAGACAAGGAGAATTTGATTAATCTCTCACTCCCTTTGTAAATTTGATTTGATCCTGTTTTCCCTTCCTTTTTATTATTGTCTTAATTTCCATTGTACTCAGCCTGTATGCAGCTGAAGAGTACTGGTGAAAAAAAACCATATCACTTTACCCTTCGAATTTTGTCCCTCTCACTTCATCTAAATTTATCAGCGGATCTAAGCGCATGAAATATTTATTGTGATTTACCACTTTTTGGCTGATTTTCTCTTTCTTTTCATTACGCGTTAGGTGAAAAAGTCATACAGTTAGATAAAATGCTACTATTAGATCAAGCATATTTTTCTGTTGTCATCCAGTAAATACAGTTGAAACTTTCGGACTTACTAAGAAATGTTGTTTGGCTTCCACTGAATTTCCTGGTGAATTGAAAGTTGGAATGTTATCTTTACACGTTTCGGAATTTCTTTTTTTGACCATAGTTATAGACTGTGAAGTGATATTTTCTGGAATGTATTCAGTTAAACATGTCCCCAAATAATCTGTCTAGAAAAATAGAATTAACAAGAGCCAAATTCAAATTATGTTCACTTCGATTTGACTGTCTGTACTTAACTGCATTAAGATTGTGAGTTTATTTGACTGATTTTGTTGGCTGCAGGTAGCTGAAAATTAAGATTGTTCACTTGAAATTTACAATGTGTCTCATCTATTACCATAGAACAGACAAGAATTTACTTACTTCATAAACTTGAACACATTTGATTACTTTATTACTAACTTGTATACTTTTTTCTCTAAGAGATAATCGAACTTCTGATATGGGATGCCGTATGTATCTACGACTAAAATGTTCACATCTCCAACCGGCGAAATGTTGTAAAGTGATAAACTTTTTGTTCTGAAAAAGTAATTGTAAGGGCTATGAAAGCTATTTTTAGGTCTTTTCTACTAGATATATCCATAATGCAAACCAAAATGAATTCATTTATCGTTTCCAAATAAATGTCTCACGGTTACAAAAGTAGAACCTATAACAAATAACTTCACTGTGTGTAAACATAGCAGCTCTCCAAGCGATGAAAGTGTTTACTTATTTTTTGTCTAGAAGTCCAACATGACGTTTTAACACATATTATTAGATTCCAGTTATCTCTAGATGATTTATGCAACTTTAGTGAAAGATTCAGTTTGTAAAATTATCACTATTTCTTCAATTTCTGAACTCAATAAATACTTTCTTCAACAGATGAAGAACATTAAGTAACCCCAAAAACGTATTAGAAGATGGTAATGACACTTTCTTTAAGTAACGGTTTTTCGATAAGATGCGACGAAATGCAAACTGCTTCAACCACAACTCGGTTCAGAACTACCTAATGAAAATAACTAGCACAAGCATCTAAGAATAACGAATCTTTCATAATAAGACCAGTTATGGCCAATACATGTAGAGCGAAAAGAAACATAGTTTGATAACCAAAATTGAACAGCCTCTTGATTTCTTGCCAAGTAGCCATAAATTCTCTAAAGGAATTTATTTTTGAATTTTCCTCTGTGATTTCACGGCAGAGTTTCTATTCGTGTTTGCTGATTAACAGTGAACAGGCCTAACAAAACAACTCATGAGATTTCACTCGAGTCCTTGATTCTAACTGAACAATATATTGTTCACAAAGTAGTTGCAAACACTACCTGGGAAGAAATTCTCGGTGTCTTAAAGCTAGAAATAAAATTAACAACCTGAATTAACGTCATAATAGTTTGTGAAATAAGCATTAGTAATATCGCCATTTATTGTGATATAAACTGTTTGGAAAGTCTTCTGACAAATTTCAATTAGAAAAATTCAGGTGTGAGGATCACATAAAAATATCAAGTTAAGAAAAAGTTAAACTCATCAAAAAGATGTATTTTCTTTAGGAATCTTAGTGGCTAGAGTGGATTTACTTCACTTAATGAGACCTGTAGCTGGTATTATCACAAACTTGTATGGCTCCTCCGGTGAACAAAAAATAAGGGTTAGTCAAAAAACGTCATAACAGGATCTAAAGAGTGAGTCTAACAGAGCAGTTTGCAAATGATCACGTCACTGATGTAAAATCACCCCTGAAAATAATACCAAGAACCTTCCTATTTATATGTAGGAAACGGTTTCTGCTGGACTTCTGCCCAAAAAACAGTTTGAATTGTCAATAAATTGAGTCAGCTGCACTCTGAAACTTGCTTCCCAAGGTAAGACTCGTAATACTATGGAATATACAGTGTTCAACAATACATATGGATTTAGTCAAATATAAGTCTCATCATGTCAGATTATATGTACCTTCCTAATATTCATTTCTTTGTACAGTACTGAAATTCCCCTTAACTTTTCTGCTTTAACTGTAATCAGAACTCTAAATGACTACGATTTTTGGTCGTTCGTTTTATACTGACATCTTAAATTTTATCTGTCCTGACTAAAGTTTTGGCCTATGATATTCATGATAATTCTAGACTTAGCACTACAATTCTACTTTTAATTTTTTGACTTTCAACTCTATTGAGACCTTTTACTCTACAAATGAAGGCGAATTTTTCTAGTTTTGCTGTAAACTTTTATTTATATCTAATAATTAACCTAAATCAGTCAATGTGTAGCTAAAGAGAATCTACAGGAAGTGCAATCGTTTCATTCTTTCCTGTGAAGCAACTTGTTCTTTCTATTTTGCTGAAATTCTTAATAGAAAAAAGATGCGTAGAGAGAACTACTACAATGAATTTGTGTAAATAAGCAGATGATAAAAGTATTTGTACTTTACCTTATAAAATTAAGTTAATCAAACATTTTCACTTATGTCCTTAAATAAACTCCTCTTTTGCATTGTATAAATGTTAATTAGCTTTTACAGACCGTTATTTCTAGCATAAATCATATCCTGCATATTTATCTGTGAACTATTCAACCTTTTTCTATGGTATTCACCTAGGGCTTTGATACGAGTAATAAACAAGCACAAAGAAATTTTGAAGTCTGCTTGCTTTTTGTGTTATTTGCAGTAGGCAACCGGTGTTCAATATAAATCTAACAATGAAAAGTAAAATGCATTCTGGTTATTGTACACTTTTGTTCTAAAAGATGTTCATTACACAGAGAAAAATGTCGCTTATCACTGCTTTTTCTTATGAGGAAATCACAACTGTAACACTAACACAAGTAGAATTTACGATCGTATAATGCAAGGTAATGTGAAGTTTCGATCAATCACATTTGATAGGTATTACCCAAACATATGTAGACAAATACGCACCCAGACGCAGACAATCATATAAATAAACTAAAACTACAGAAGCTGTCATTGCACAACTCTCACTGTCCTAATCTACTATGTTTATTAAATACAGAATGCAAAAATAAGCACAAAAAGCCATTATCAATGGTTAATTTTTCCTTGTAAATTATAAAAAGAACAAGCGTTGTTGAAATTGACGAACTCAAGCAAAATAAATTCACATTTATAAAAACTTTAACATACTTTATGCATATGTAAAGAGAAAATGCTATTTTTTATTGAGATGGATTAAAGTAATCAAACTGCTTTTTTTCTGACAGCATTTGCTGCACTCCTTATATTGAACCACTTGTACGTTTAACATAAAGATTTAAGTAGGTTTCTTAAGCAAGATATAAAGGGAATAAAGTATCGTGAAGTTCCGATATTTCTTTTACTTTTCCCAGTTGAAATATACGTTGATCTTTTGAACGAGAAAACACAACAGCTTTAGTAAAATAGGAATAGTTGTTATTTAGATTCTGCTTTATTTAAGATTGGACAGATTATGAGTCATCGAAGACTATGTTACATTGTAGATCTTATTTTCCAATTTTTCAGGAGAATTCAAAAACTTATATCACCTCGATTTCTTGAACCAGTTCAGTAACCATTCGGAAGTATAAGTGGACATACCCAAACTTCTAGCTACATATTAGAGTATGAACGGGTTCCCATTCTGTTTGTTGATAGTACGGTGACTGATTTGTTATCAAACAGCCCGTGTTTATCACACCATAAAAAAGTATTTCATGTAGATAAAATTAAACATTGGAAGGAACCGTTTACTGAAAAACGTTATGGTGTGGACAGTATCTTCAATTCAAGAGCTTTGTTCCGATCATGTGCAAAAAGACCGTTATAAAAACCTTATTTTATAGAACAAGGGAAACTAACTGTGATAGTAAGTACCAATGACTATAAAGTAAAACATTGCCTGACATGATAATCAAAAATGGTTATCGGGAAGTCTCTGCTAACATGTGCTTGGAAGGTATAGGTAATGAAACAGCAGTCCCTACAGTTCCAAAAAAGCCAGTGTTTATTAAACAGACAAGGTATTTGAATCAGTTAATCTTGAACTGGGCAAGATCATCAAAATAACTTAATATGTTCGTACGCTGTTACTTCTGAATTAGACATGACAGAGGTTCCAGGGCACTTTGAAGACATGTATTAGTTTTTCTTTCTCATTGTGTTTATCTATTCATTATCTTTATGCTACTGTAATTCCATTCCTCTCTAACATTCTTTTAATAAACAGACAAATTTATTATTAACATTTCTATTATAATTTTCCAATTGATACTAGTCATCAATAGTATTTCATAGTCACTAAACTTCTCAAAAGAGATAAATCATTTCTCAGAAACTGTTTATATTGTAAAATTCTTAAATCTCGAAGTAATACTTTCCGCGTTTAATAAACAAATCCGACCACATTAAAGTAAGAGAGGTAGATTTAATCTTAAAATCCTTTCCTTTAATAAGAGCTTAAACATTACCAACCAAAAACCCTACATCCTCTTTTCGAAAGGTTGCATATTTGTAATGCTTTACCAGTATCTATACTTCTTACATAACAATTGACATAAAATCAAATTGGTACCTAAAACTACTTTTTTTAGAAGTCGAAACAAAATATCACTGAGAATACACATCAGGAAATTAGAGAAAACGAGAAGTTCAGGAAAGATACCTTTTGGAGGATTTCATTCTCCATAGCTGTACAACTGCAGTTCATACATTTTTGCTTAACCATATTGGATAGTTGTAAAAATTATTATTTAAACCTAGTAACAAAGATCAAGTTGAATGAGGATTGAAAATTCACAAGAGTAACACAAGGTGAAAATTAGTCACAAGACACCATAGAAGTTTATCTGAAGTATTGCAATTTCTTACCTAAATTATTATATTATTATTATTAGTAGTCCCTTGGGTTCCTAATGGAATATAAGGCTTCACTAGCACGCCTCCAGTGAACTCTGTTCTCTGAAATCTTTCGAACCTGGCTCCACAACTGCCCACAAGCTCTCATTTCCTCCTCGCACGATTTCCTCCATGTCACCCTCAGACGTCCAATTCGTCGCTTCCCATCGGGTTCCACTCGAGCAACTGGCCTGGTGCGTGATGTCCACAGTCGGCCTTCTCAGTGTATGCCCAATCCATCTCCACTTTCTTCTACATATCTGTTGCGTGACAGGTTCTTGGTTGGTTCGTTCCCAGAGT